AAGCCAACTCTTCAGATAAAGATCAGACTGGACTATAAGACATAAAATGATACTCGTGAAGTGTGTGCTTCTTAGTTCAAGTAGATAAGTCAAAATGGGTAGCTCCTGTCCGGAGGCAAGATGAGAAGGCAGAAAGGGACAGGAGCTGGTTTAATGGACACAGGAAATCTGGGATAGACAGAAGGAGTGTGCTGTCACGGTCTGGGGAGAGCAACTAGGGTCATATAGCAGTGTGTGTACAAATTTTTGTATGAGAAACTAACTTAAACCGTAAACTTTCATTTAAAGCACAATAAAAAAAAAAAAAATCAAACAAATGGATGGTCTGAAAGCAGAAAAAAAAAAATCCTCCATTTTCGCATAGTGCCGATTTTCACTTATCAACCTGATCTTTCATACCTAACCATGTCAATAAGTGAGGAGTGGGTGAATGGGGGTACAGTACTTGCTGTTTCCAATTCCTCTCCTTCTCTCTTCATTTCCATTCAAATCATGTCTTTATCACCACCACTTAACAGAAACTGCTTATCAAGGTCACTGATGGAAACCCTGGTGGCGTAGTGGTTAAGAGCTATGGCTGCTAACCAAAAGGTGGGCAGTTTGAAGCCCACAGGCGCTCCTTAGAAACCCTGTGGGGCAGTTCTACCCTGTGCTATAGGGTTGCTATCAGTTGGAATCCACTCAAAGGCAACGGGTTAACGACCTCCTGATTGCTAAATCCACAGAACTCATCTTACTTGACCCACCAGCTGCAAATGACAGCTAACCACTCCCTTCTTGAACCACTCCCTGTGCCATCCAGAACAAACACCACTCTGACCTAATTTTCCTCCTACCTCACTAGCAGCTCCTTTTCAGTTTCCTGCTGGTTCCTCCTCACCTTCCCAAACTTTTATCATTAAAAGGCTCCAAAATTCAGTCCTCAGATTTCCTCCCTTCTTCATCTAAACTCCCTAGGTAATCTCCTCCAATTTCAAGGCTTTAAAAACCATCTATATTCTGAATTCATCATCATCACCCTGGACCACTCCTCTGTTTATTTATCCAACTGCCTACTTCTCCTGAAGCTTTTCCTGCACCTCACTAACAGCATTTCTTCCTTCTGGTTGTTCACGACAAAAACCCTGGAAGTCATCCTTAACTATTCCACCTCACACACACATCATGCTACATCAGTAAATCCTACTGATCACCTTCAAAACAGATCTAGAATTTGTCCACTTCTCACCACTTCCATTGCTGATTCAAATGCTATGATTTCTCACCATGATCGTTACAATCACTTCCTAAGATCCTTACTTCTAAACACAGCAGCTGGCGGGATCTTGACAAAACATCAATTATATCATCTCACTACTCTGCCTTATACCCTCTATACCCATCCCACTCAGAGTAAAAACTAGCCCTTACAAGGACCTACAAGGCCTGACATACTCAGACCTTCCATGACTTCTCTGACTTCATCCCAGCTACTTTTCCCCTTACCAACCCACTCTAACCACACTGCTATACTCCTGCCTGGCCTCTATACTTCTTGCTTCCTCCCCTGTACCCATAATGGTCTTGCTCCACATTTCTGCACAGCTACCTTTCTTACTGCCTTTAGTGTTTACTAAAATGTCACTTATCGGTGAGGCCTTCTGTAACCACCCTATTTTAAATTGCAACTCTTCCCTACACAGTTCTTATCCACTTTCTAGTCTTAATTTTATCTACGTTTTAAAATACCATATAATGTACCTATTCATTTTGATCATAGCCTACTCCACATCCCCCAACTAGAAAATAAGCTCCCTAAGACAAGATTTTGTCTCTCTTATTCACTGCCATATCCTCAACACCAAAAACACAGTTTTGCACAGAGCTGGCACTTAATAAACATCTGCTGAATGAACAGATGAATTCTTAAGGCTCACCAGACATTTGACAAATGCCTGCAATATAAAAGCAAAAGATCAATATATACAAAAAACCAGCTGGGGAGTGGGGAGGACAGAGATACATCAGGGAACAGAAGGAAATTAAAAAAAAAAAAAATTCTGTTATCAAAATTCTTCAGAAAGAAAAATCACAGAAAAGACTGCAGTAAGAACATGAACCACTCTGGAACTTAAAAATACTACTGTTATGAATTGAATTGTGTCCCCCTAAAATATGTGTCAACTTGGCTAGGCCATGATACCTAGTATTGTGTGGTTACCCTCCATTTTATGGTCTGATATAACTGTCCTATGTGTTATAAATCCCAATCTCTGTCTATGGTTAATGAGGCAAGATTAGGTTATATTAAAGAGGATTAGGGTGGGATGTAATACCTTTCCTTACTCAAGTCACAGCCCTGTTGATGTAAGAGGAGTTTCCCTGGGATGTGGCCTGCATCACCTTTTATCTTACAAGACACAAAAGGAAAGAGAAGTGGGCAGAGAGGCCTCATTACCACCAAGAAAGAGCCAGGAGCGGAGCACATCCTTTGGACCTGGTGTCCCTGTGCTGAATAGCTCCTAGCCCCAGGAGAAGATTGATGCCAAGACATGTGGAGATCACCAAGGAATGCTGGGCCCAAAGATGTCAAAAGGAGGCAAGAACTTTGCACAGAGTTGATAGAGTGAGAAAGCCTTCCCCTAGAGCTGGTGCCCTGATTTCAGACTTCTAGCCTCCTAAACTGTGAGAGAATAAATTTGTTTGTTAAAGCCATCCATTTGTGGTATTTCTGTTATAATAGCAGCACTAGAAAACTAAGACAATCACTGTTTATTAAAAAATCCATAGAGGAATATATCCTAGAGAAATAAGAGTCATCACTCGAATAGACATATGCACACCTAGGTTCATGGCAGCATTGTTAACAATAGCAAAACGATGGAAACAACCTAGATGCCCATCAACAGATGAATAGATAAACAAACTATGGTATATACACACAATGGAGTACTATGCAACAAGAAAGAATAATGAATCTGTGAACCATCTCATAACATGGATGAAACTGGACGACATTATGCTGAGTGAAATAAGTCAATCACAAAAGGACAAATATTGTATGAGACCTCTATTGTAAAAACCCATGAAAAAGTTCACACACAAAATGTAACAATCTTTGTTGGTTACCAGGGATGGGAGGGGTGGGGGGGGAAATACTAAATAGGCAATAGATAAGTGGTATCTTTGGTGAAGGGTGAGACAGTACACAATACAGGGGAAACTAGCACAATTTGCACAAGGAAAGGTCATGGAAGCCCCATAGACACATCCAAACTCCCTGAGGGACTGAATTGCTGGGTAGAGGGCTGTTGGGACCATGGTCTCGGGGAACATGTAGCTCAACTGGCATAACACAGTTTATAAAGACAATGTTCTACATTCTACCTTGATGAGTAGCGTCAGGGGTCTTAAAAACCTGTGAGCAGCCATCTTAGATACTTCACTGGTCTCATCCCTTCGGGAGCAAGGGAGAATGAAGAAAACAGGATACAAGGAAAAGATTAGTCCAAAGGACTAATGGACCACAGCTACCAATGCCTCCACCAGACTGAGTCCAGTACAGCTAGATGGTGCCGGCTACCACCACGGACTGCTCTGACCAGGATCACAACAGAGGGTTCTGGACAGAGCTGGAGAAGGATGTAGAACATAATTCTAACTCACAAAAAAAAGACCAGATTTACTGGCCTAAAGGAGACTGTAGAAACCCTGAGAGTATGGCCCCCAGACACCCTTTTAGCTCAGTGGTGAAGTCATTTCCGAGGTTCACCATTCAGCCTGGGAGTGGACAGCCCCATAAAACCAAACGGGACTAATGAGGTACAGCAGTCCAGGGACATGGGCCAGAAGGCAGAAGGGGACCGGGAGGCTGGTGATAGGGAACCCAAGGTTGAGTAAGGATAGTGTTGATGTGTTGTGAGGTTATTAACCATCGTCATAGGGCAACGCGTGTACTAACTGTTAAATGAGAAACTATTTTGTTCTGTAAGTCTTCATCTAAAGTGAGAATAGCAGCACAATTGGAAGAGCAAAGTTGATGTCACTGAATTGTACATGTAGAAATTTTTGAAATGGTGTATCTTTGGCTATGTATATTTTCTCCCAGATTGAAAGGAGAGAAGGGAGAGGGTTGACATGTTGTGGGGTTGTTAACCAATGTCGTAAAACAGTATGTGTACTACTGTTTCATGAGAAACTATTTGTTCTATAAGCCTTCACCTGAAGTACAACTAAAAAAAAAGAAAGAATTAAAAAAGAATAATAAACCAATAGAAGGATTGAGAGAAAAAGTCAAGGAAATCATCAAGAACACAGCAAAAAAGACAAAGAAATTTTTTTAAGTATGAGAGGAAAAAATAAAGTTTTAACCCAGGAGGGCCCATATTTGACTAACAGAAATTCTGGGCGGGGGGAGGATTTACAAAGAACTACTATATGAAATTCTGACAGTGCTTCAAAGTGAATCTGAAAAACCTTCAAACTCTGAGTCCACTTCAATTATAAACATACCTGGTAGAAGTAAGTGATAAAGTTTAACAATAACAACAAAAAAAACTTAAACGTGTCATGTCAAGAAGTAAACTAGACTCACAAAGACCCCTATTTGTTTTTTGGAGACATATATCGACTGACATTAAGTAACAGATACCAATATTTTCTTTCCAGAGCAGTATCAAAAATAAAAAAGAAACCAAATACCGGAGCCATAATGATATAATTTCCTAAATTATGTTTATGAATGGTTTTCTATTAGATATTCAGAAAAAATTACTGCACATAAGTGATTCTCAATAATGAAAAAAACGATTCTATAATTAAAATGCTTTAAAGATAAAAGATATTTTCATAAAAAAGAATAAATATAATTTTTAAAGTGAAAACAGCATTTGTAGTGGGGTGTTTACTAAAAGTAACATTTAAAAGTTGCTTTTGAAAAATCTACTCATTGGAATTTTCTGAAAATAAGAGCTTTAATAAAAGCACACCTGCAAAAAACTGATTTTAGCTATCTGACCTACCTTAGTCAGAGGTGCTTTGAGTTTTTTCAAACATAAAGCAAGAAGTTCCCTGGATTCTAAAGCACACTGTATCCAAGTTCCCGGTGGCTGAAAATATCTGAAAGACAAGATAATGCACAGAAATTCAGAATCTCTCAGGAAGAAACAGAAATTTCCATCTGAATAGCACACATAACACTGATTATAACCAAACATAATAATACTGAAAGTTCATATGAGGCACTTAACCTAAATATATTTTAATAGTTCCAGAAAGTTTTCAATCAGACCAGTACCTTTAGTTAAAATGGACGTGCTTTCTCAAATAATAATCCATTTCTCAAATAATTATGATTATTTGAAAAAGTCTGAAACAATATATTATTATAAAGGTCTTATTACTGTAAGCACCAGTAAGAATTCTAGTGAGGATGATAAAATGCCCAAGAGTTCCTTCCTTGAAACTATGCTCCGAAAAACTGAGAATCATCTCAAAATGGCATTAAAAATGACTTATTGTACACTTCTAAAATGTTGAGGACTGCTTATTTTCCATAACAAAGAAAAATCAGTACCTCATAGCACTGTGTTTCAGGAATAGTTCAGACTAATCACCTATTTCAAGTTCCTTTTCAAAATTTAAATTACAAAATTCAAGTTTTAAAATCTTAGGTAAAACCTGACTAAATTAAACTTTAAAGGGCTTAGAACAGTGCCCAGCACATAGTAGATGCTCAATAAATGTTTGTCAAATACATAATACTTTCAATGCATTATGCGAATAATGTTTTTTGACATACTTGTTAAATGGTGAAAGTTCTGATTTTCACTATTAAATGTTTAATCAAAAACCTTTAATCAAAAACCTTACACAGGTCCCTCTGCCTTTAGTAACACTTTAAGAGCTAGAAGCGACTTCATATGTTATCTAATTGAAACCCTTTCACTCTCGTGAGAAAACTAAGCCCTAGAGAAGTTAAATGGCCAAGAGTTACAAAAAGCAAGTTTCTGAGAAATAAAGACATGTATCTCTTGATTCTTTGTCCAGTCTTTTTTCACCCTACCATGTTTTTAACAGGAAATACTTATAAAAGATTAAACCTCACACTTGCCAAGCTTCTAAACTACAGAATCCCTGAAACACTACACAAAGTTTCATGTGTTTGTATATATACACGTTAAATATTTTTGGGGGCAAATACAGTTTTCAGTTCTTAAAGGAGTCCATGAACCTGATGTCCCCCTCTAAAACCAGTTAAGAAGCACTAGAGTACTAATGCATCTAGGAAATCACAGGTACATGTTACATTCATTGGGCAGTTATGTGTTACTAAATGGCCTACTAGATGCAAGCAAGCTGTTTATGCCAACAACTAAAGAATACACAGAGGGAATGAAACATTAACTTTCAGAAGTCTTCTGCCTTTAAATTCAATCTTCATTTCAGACCACCCTAGATATGATTTACTGAGGTTTTCCATCAACTGTAGTCATTTCAATTACCTGTGAACATTAATACATATTTTTTCAAACACATTACTTAAAATATAAAACACTTTTTTTATCATTCATAACTTATAGTAACTGACGGAAAAACAAAAATAGTAATGATAATAACAGGAATATGTCCTTAATACTCTGCTGTCTCAGCATTACGAATATCAACTCTCATTAACTGGGTACATTATTCTCTTCAAAAAAAAAAAGCAGATCTAGAAAGAAACTCAAAAAAGATACAGAAAACCTAAAGAACGCTATCAGCCAACTTGACTTCATAGACATATACGGAACACTACACCCAACAGCTGCAAAGTACACCTTCTTTTCCAACGCACATGAAACGTTCTCCAGAAAAGACCACAGAGCAACCCTCAACAAAATCCAAAACACTGTGATAATACAAAGTATCTTCTCTGACCACAAGGCCATCAAGGTAGAAATTAACAACAGGAAGAGCAAGGAAAAAAAATCAATCACATGGCAACTGAATGACACCCTGTTTACAAACCACTGGGAAATAGAAGAAACCAGAGATGGAATCACAAAATACCTAGAATCAAATGAGAATGAAAACACATCATACCCAACCTTTGGGACACAGCAAAAGCAGTCCTCAGAGGACACTATACAGCAATAAATACATACATCAAAAAGACGAAAGCAACAAGATCAAAACATTAACTACACAACTCAAACAAACAGAACAGCCAAAAAAGCCCACACTCACCAGAAGAAAGCAAATAATAAAAATCAGAGCAGAAATAAATGAAATAGAGAACAGAAAAACAATAGAAAGAATCCATAAAACCAAAAGCCGGTTCTTTGAAAGGATCAACAAAATCAACAAACCACTGGCCAAACTGACAAAAGAAAAACAGGAGAGGATGCAAATAACCCAAATAAGAAATGAAATGGGGGACATTACAACAGACCCAACTGAAATAAAAAGGATCATAACAGAGTATTATGAAAAACTATACTCCAACAAATTTGAAAACCTAGAGGAAATGGATAAATTTCTAGAAACACACTACCTACCCAAACTAACAGAAAGGGATGTTGAAAATCTGAATAGACCCATAACAAGAGAAGAGATTGAAAAGGTAATTTTAAAAAGTCCAAAAAACAAAAGCCCTGGCCCAGAGGGCTTCACTGGAAGATTCTACCAAACATTCAGAAAAGAGCTTATACCAGTACTACCCAAACTATTTCAGAACATAGAAAAGGAAGCGACACTTCGGAATTCATTGTATGAAGCCAGCATAACCCTGATACCAAAACCAGGAAAAGATGCCACAGAAAAAGATAATTACAACCAATATCTCTCATGAATATAGATGCAAAAATTCTCAACAAAATTCTAGCCAATACAAGTCAGCATCATATTAAAAAAAAATACACCACGACCAAGTAGGATTCATACCAGGTATGCAACAATGGTTCAGTATTAGAAAACCAATCAATGTAATCGACCACATAAATAAAAGAAACGAAACACAATCATCTCAATCAACACTGAAAAGGCACTCGACGAAGTCCAACACCCATTCGTGATAAAAATTCTCAATAAAATAGGTATAGAAGGGAAATTTTTCAACATAACAAAGGGAATCTACACAAAACCAATGGCCAACATCATTCTTAATAGATAAAGGATGAAACATTCCCCCTGAGAACAGGAACAATCCAAGGATGCCCTTTATCATCACTCCTATTAAACACCATGCTGGAAGTCCTAACTAGAGCGATAAGGCAAGAAAAATAAAGGACATCCAAACTGATAATGAACAAGTTAAACTGTCCCAATTTGCAGATGATATGATACTCTACACAGAAAACCCTAAAGACTCCACAAGAAAACTACTGGAACTAATACAAAGATTCAGCAGAGTAGCAAAAAACAAGATAAACATACAAGTATCAATTGGATTCCTACACACAAATAAAGAGAATGATGAAAAGGGAATAAGGAAAACTATACCCCTGATAATAGTACCTAGAAAAATAAAATACTTAGTAATAAATCTAACCAGGGATATAAAAGACCTATACAAAGAAAACTGCAAAACACTACTGTAAGAAACCCAAAGAGATCTACATAAACAGAAAAATATACTATGCTCATGGATAGGTAGACTCAATATTATGAAAATGACAATTCTACCCAAAGAAATTTACAAATTACAAATACAATGCAATCCTGATCCAAATACCAACTCTTTAAAGAGATGGAAAAACTAATCATTAACTTTATATGGAAAGGGAAGAAGCCCCAGATAAGAAAGCACTACTAAAGAGGAAAAATAAAGTAGGAGGGCTCGCACTACCTAACCTCAGAACCTACTATACAGCTACAGTAGTCAAAAAAGCCTGGTACTGGTACAACAATAGATACACTGACCAATGGAACAGAACTGAGAACCCAGATGTAAATCCATCCACCTATAGTCACCTGATCTTCAACAAGGGCCCAAAGTCCATCAAATGGGGAAAAGACAGTTTCTTTAACAAACAGTGCTGGCAAAACTGGATAATCATCTGCAAAAAAATGAAAAGAGGATCCATACCTCACACCATATACAAAAACCAATTCAAAATGGATCAGAGACCTAAATATAAAGCCAAAAACCATGAAGATCATGGAAGAAAAAAAATAGGATCAACACTGGAGGCCCTAATACACGGCATTAACAGGATACAAACCAAACCAGTAACACACAAACTCTAGAAAATAAGCCAGAAAACTGGGATCTTCTAAAAATTAAACACTTATGCACATCAAAAGACTTCACCAAAAGAGTAAAAAGAGAACTTACAGACTGGGAAAAAAAATTGGGACATTACAAGTCAGACAAAGGACTAATCTCTAAAATCTACAAGAGAATCCAACACCTCTACAAAAGACAAATAATCCAATTAAAAAATGGGCAAAGGAAACGAACAGACACTTCATCAAAGATGACATTCAAGCAGCCAAGAGACAAATGAGGAAATGCTCACAATCACTAAACATTAGAGAAACGCAAATCGAAACCACAATGAGATACCATCTCACCCTGGCACTACTGGCACGAATCAAAAAAACTGGAAATAAAAAATGTTGGAGAGGCTGCGGGGAGATAGGTACTCTTATGCACTGCTCGTGGGAATGCAAAATGATATAACCATTTTGGAAAACGATATGGCGCTTCCATAGAAACCTAGAAATAGAAATACCATACGATCCAGTAATCCCACTACGAATATATCCTAGAGAAATAAGAGCCGTCACACGAATAGACATATGCACACCCATGTTCACTGCAGCATTGTTCACAATAGCAAAAAGATGGAAACAACCTAGATGCCCATCAAGAGATCAATGGATAAACAAACTATGGCACATACAATGGAGTATTACACAACGACAAAGAACAAGATGAATCTGCAAAGTATCTCATAACAAGGATGAAACTGGAGAACATTATGCTGAGTGCAATAAGTCAATCACAAAAGGACAAATACTGTATGAGACCACTAATGTAAAAACTTATGAAAAGATTTACACACAAAAAGAAACAAAATCTTTGATGGATATGAGGGAGTGAAGGGGTGGCGGTGGAAAAACACTAAACAGAC